TTCATAGAGCTGCGAAATAGAACACGTAAAATTCATTATTATAACTGTTATAGTTATTATTATTATTGAGTGTATATATTAACATTGGTATGAGCATATTTTCATTAAAATGATTATCATTTATTAACATTCCAATAATCATATTCTAGATATTTATTTTATTTATTTATTCATTGTCAATTTGATTATCACGATTTTATTAAATTTAATTTTAAGATCTTTGTCATTGACATTATTAATGTCATTGTCATTACTACGATTATCTCTAATAATAATTATTTTTTAAATTGAATATAATAATCATAATCATGCTCATTGCCATTACTCATTACTCATTATCAATTTAAAAAAAATTATTTTAATTACAAAATTGAATATAATAATAATAATAGTAATCATCATCATCATAATTATAATCATTATCATTGTCATTATTAATTTAAATATATTAATAAAATATTGATAATAAATAAATAAAATATTTTTAATATATTACTAAAAAAAAAAAAATCCTATACAAATCATAATTATTTTCCATTTCGGAATCTTAAATAAAATCAGCACTGGCATTATCATAGCCATGAGCATGCTCATTATCATGATCATTTACATAGCCACAATCATGTAATTATCATTATTTAATATTTGTATATATGTATAGTCCTAATCATAATCCCTAGCTTCAATCATAATCATCATCATTGGCATACTAATTATCATTATTAGTATTATAATTATTACGCAAATTATTTATATTATTGTTCGTCAGAGTGTAATACATTCCATTATTATGATTATTTTCCATATATAAATATACATATATACAAACATACATATATTCATATATTATTGCGCTAACAATCAATGAACAATAATAGGGGCTCAAATACTTGACTTGTGGGCCAATGGATTGGCACAAAATGGTTGCCACACGCTATTCTATTGTGTTGTGCAGTGTTGTTTACTCGTGTTTCTCTTCTGTTTTTTGTTGTTCGCTTCGGTGTTGGTTAACAGACAATAGACGCCGTGACATGGCTCGACCCTAGGTCTGGCGACAACAGGGGCGCGTGTTTCTCTAAATGCTACTCTCTATCTCTCTCACTCCCTGTCTCTCTCTCTTTCTCGTTCTTCACTCAGTCGCTCACTCACTGGGGGTTGCCAGCGCTTACGCATACCAACGCAAAACGTGTGAAACACCCCAATGAGCATTAAAAAGGGCAAGGCTTGAGGCTTGAGTTGAGCGTGTGAGCGAGTGGCCTGGCACAATTCATAATTAGGTGATAAAGATGAGAATCTTTGTATGTAGTAGTTATGTATTTAGGTCTCTATGTACAGCAAAATATGCAGAATGAGAAGGGGCAAGAGAAATGCGATAAACTCTTTGTATAAAGAGAAGAGCAATAAATTCATTTCAGATCAATTCCGAACATTGGATATAAAGAGAACAAAGGCAAATATGTTTGTTTATAAATCAGCTAAATATATTAGAATAATTTTTAAATTTAGCTAAAGATATGTTAAATAATTATTAAAGTGTGAAAATGCTTTTTTTTAATTTCACAAATTTTACTTTACCCTACTATCAATTCCAATATCATAAATTCCAGCTGCTCCTACTTCTATTTTCATGAAAAATACTACTACTACTACTACTATTTTTATGAACCTTACAGCTACTACGATTTTCATTTATCTTTGGTCCTCGACTAGCCAAATATTTATATTATTAAATTATTTAAATTTGGCTAACTGAAGGAATTCGAATAGTAGAAATTGAAGCTAGTGCAGCTGCTACTATTTTTATGATCTGCTGCTACTTCTACTACTATTTTCATTTGTTGTTGCTACTAATACTACTAATTGCTTGAGCTACTACTATTACTACTACTATTTTCTTGAGCTACTACCATTACTACTACTTTTTGCTTGAGCTACTACTATTACTACTACTATTTTCATGATAATTATTACTGCTCCAACTACTACCACTACTACAACTACTACTACATATCCATGAACCCAACTGCATACCTTCTACACCTTTCTCTGCACTAATCAGGCTTCGAGTTTACAAAAAAGATTCTCAATCTTATGGCATTCCAGCAATCTATATTCATGTAGTATTCTAAGTATTCACTAGTTGTTGTACATATTCGTGATTATTCATTTCTCTTTTATTTCGTATTTTTTCTCTCCCTTTCTCTCTACTTCATGACTCCTCAGGCGCACACTCTGACCTTTAACCCATTTGCCAGCGAAGTTCCTTTGGCCATATGTGTTTTGTTTCTTAGTTAAATTATAGGAGCCTAGCTAAAACCTTCTGCTATACGTACACACACACACACACACACTCATATCCATGAACCCAACTGCATACCTTCTACACCTTTCTCTGCACTAATCAGGCTTCGAGTTTACAAAAAAAATTCTCAATCTTATGGCATTCCAGCAATCTATATTCATGTAGTATTCTAAGTATTCACTAGTTGTTGTACATATTCGTGATTATTCATTTCTCTTTTATTTTGTATTTTTTCTCTCCCTCTCTCTCTCTACTTCATGACTCCTCAGGCGCACACTCTGACCTTTAACCCATTTGCCAGCGAAGTTCCTTTGGCCTTATGTGTTTTGTTTCTTAGTTAAATTATAGGAGCCTAGCTAAAACCTTCTGCTATACGTACACACACACACACACACACTCATATGTGTGTGCGTCTCTCTGTGTATAAAATTAATGACAACATCTGAGTGAACTCATCAAATTTGGAATTCATCATACTTTCCGCCTACTAAGCTAAGGCACAGGCAAAGGCCCAGGCACAAGCCCAAGTCTTGGCTCTGGCTTGGAGTTGCTGTTGCCCTGTGTTGCCTCTGTCTTCGGCTTTGGGTGCACATTCTAAGTCAATGCGAATGATGATGAACTGCCTCGCATCCCCACTCGCATAAATGATTTAAAACGCGACTGTAGCCCAGCAACACAACGTGCAGATGCTGCTGCTGCTTCAGCTGACTCTCCGTCTGAGCTGGACTGAGGCTGAGGCTGAGTCTCTGACTCAGAGCCCGCGCCGATTCATTGCCATTGCCCCCAACTTGAGAGTTGGAACTACGAATTCAGCGAATGCAACTGCAACACACAACTCGCCGCAACTTCGACTGGCTGGCTCGGCTCTCTGGCTGCTTGTTTTTTATGATGCACGACGCCCACAAGAGTTATAGTGTGTGTAGAAATACACATATATATCAACATTACTTATATATATCTGTCTATATGTGTATATGTTTGCATATGTTTGCTTGTATGTGTATCAGCATATGCGTATTTCATATATTCCGCTTTATGCCGGCTGCAGAAATTGATTGAAGCTCAACTTGAAGCGCTTTTACGTTTAATGCTTTTTCACGGACTTTTGGCCAAAAACCAAAAAGAAATAAATTTGTTATTTATTTATTTTTGCTTTGCATTTTTTTTTTTTTTTTTTGGCATTTTTAATTAAACTTTTGAGTTGAGTTTGAATGCCTATGAATTGGCAATATTTATGATCATATTTGTTGCAGTTGTTGTTGTTGCTTTTGAGTACCTCCTGTATTTGATCCTCGGAGATGAGCATGTTGGCAATTGATTGATTAAGACACACACACACACTCAAACACTTTTCACTTTTCACTTTGTTTTTTATTTTCTTTTTTATTTTCTGTTTAATTGCAAACTTGTTGCACTGCTCAACGGTTTTTCGATTCTCCTTTTCCTTTTTCTGTTGGTTTTTTGATCAACTTGAATATCTTTCACGCAGGTTGCAGCCACATCGATTGATCAACGCGACGATGCAACGCCATCAAAGGTCGTTTATCAACTAAAAATATGTGAATGTGCCGTCGAGTGCAGCAATCGACGCTGACGTCGCTGTACAAATCAAATATGTGTAAGTGTGCGTGTGTGCGTATGTGTGTGTGTGCGTATCTATGTGCGCCTTGGGCTGCACGTTTGCCTGCCTCAGCTGTCTGTGTGTGTGTGCATTAATAATATGTACCTAATAAAAATGAAGTTCGCTTTGGGTTAGCCTGCCCAGGCAACCCTTGTCCAAATCCGTATGGCCCGAGTCCTGGAAATCGGTTGCGGACTTGCATCACAGCAGCAGGAGCAGCGGCAGGAGCAGCGGCAGCCGCAAGCGCAGGTCAAGTTCACAAATCCGCCTAGTCTTTGGCAATAAAACAATAAAATACCCTAACAGAAGTTCTAGACCAATCATAATCGTTTTTATAACTACACACACATGAGGACACATGGCAGACACACACACATATACATATATAGATACACACTCGGGGTTCGGTTATAAAAATAATCTCACTTATTTGTCGCTAGCATTGCGGACTAGTACCTAAAAATGTGTGCTTGAAATTTGAATCCTTGATTCTGGGAATTGTCAAATGCGTTTTGCCAGATCAAAGTGTGTGTTAATGTGTGCCAGTGTGTGTGTGTGTGTGTGTGTGTGTGCCTGCGTGTGTGTGTATAATTTATAACTATCAGCATGGAAAGTGCAAGGTTTCCAAATGGAAATGCTACTAAAAATTATATGACAAGATCCCGTTGCATGTTTCTCTCCGAGTTCGCCTCGTTCGATCGCCTCATAATTTGTCCAGTCTCATTTACACATGCTCATTACACACACACACACACACACACATACAGAGGCACACATGTAGTATGTGTGTATCTTGTGCACATATTTATTTAAGAATTTCACACTCGTTATTGAAAATCTGTTGACCAGATTTTTGTTTTGTTCACTTTAATTAACTGAAATTCGTTGAGGTTTCGTCGTTGCCTTCTTTATTTTTCTTCTTCTTTCATTTTTGTTGTACTTTATTGCCTTTGTTGATTTAAGCACTTCTTTAAGTACAGTGCTTACTGATTAAAAACAGCTCAAAGGCGAAAAATATAAATGACACACAAATCAAATCCATCTCGATTGCAGCAGCAATTTATTGAATAAATAAGCATTTTGAGAGAATTTCATAAGATTTGCACAGAATGGAATGAGGTAAAAATGTCGGATCTCAGTGACTCCAAAATATCCGTTCAATGTATAATAATTGTTAAAAATAAAAATCTACGGTAATTTCGAATTTTTTTGGTTTTAATATTTTGCAATATACAGGTTTACCGGATGGATATATCTACTACATACTGTTGATGCTTGCTGGTTGGCTAATATGGGTATATCATTTAATATCATTTTTAACATATATACTAGATCTAGTATATCCCAAATTGAGTTAAAAGAAGAAAGTCTGAACGATCTTGAAATGAGAATACCAAAGAGCATCTACTTAAAATTTCAAAGCTCTATTTAATTCTTTTCTCTTATAGTATATAAAGTATGGCCTTTGCCACGCCTTTAACGAATATACAGGGGGCTAACGATGGTTTCAATATCTAATCTGTCCTCATCAAGAGCGTGCCACACCCATAGCCAAGGGACTATGCAAAACCAATATACTCTCTTCATATTCTCACTTTCTGACATTACATAAAAAAAAAAAAATCCCAAAAGCCAATTTCACTACAATAAAAGTACTAAAAACTTAAAGTGAAAACTTTTGCCGTATTGCCAAAAAGTCCGAAATGAAAACGAATTATATTTACGTATGGGCTGGGTCTGGTCTTGAGCGGGCCGAAATAAATCGATTTTCGAAATGGACCAATAAAATGTAAGTTATAAAACAAAAGTGAACTAATTTTAAGAGTTGCCAACGGCGATAATTAATATTAATTTTTTTTTTTTTTTGTATTTGTGTTAATTATTTGAGAACGTTCGCTGCCCATAATTAAAATGGAAATTCATTGCCTTTTCGTACAAATCGGCAATAGAATAAATAATTATTAACACGAAATAATGGGCAACAGTGCGCCAACAGTTTCATAATCCAGAAAGTGCAATTGAGCACAAGAATATTAATATATACATATATATACGATATATATGTATATATGTATATACAAAGGAAATGTTCGTATGATAAAATAAAATAAAATAATATTGGAAAATGCTTTGGGGTCTGTCTATAATTAAACATAATTATTCAGTATGTACAGATAATTGACATTGATTAATGAGAGCAAGCCAACTACATATATATATATGTGAATATATATGCATATATATATAAAGCAAAACTAAATCATATAGAAACGAGGAAAAAAATACCAAAATAATATTTCGTCTTCGTCTGAAGAGATGAAGAGCTGAATAGATGGATGGATGGATGGATGGATAGATGGATAGATGGATGGATAGTTGCTTTGGATGTCTGATGATGATGACGATGAAGGCGAGTGGCGGTTGGGGCGGCAGTCGCAGTCGCAGTCGCAGTTGCCCCACACCCGTGTAGAATGATTTTCTTTTTTGGCATCTCACGAGGCGGCGGCAGACAAATTCAAAATGGCTTTTCATACGCGGCAGCTACTCACTCAATTAACATAATTATCGTTTTGAGCAGCGCTGGCCACATTTTCGCAAATTAATGAAAGCCGCCATTTTGTGGCGCAGCAGCGGCATCAAACTGTAGCTTCTTGAAAGGGATTAGGCAACCAAGAAAGGGGTCCAACGGAACCTACCAGAAGCCAGAGAGCAACCGAGCAGAGCAGAGCAGAGCAGAGCAGAGCCAAGCTGAGCTGAGCTGTGCAGAGAGGCTCGCAGCTGGTTGGTAGGCGTTGGCTGGTTCACTAAGCCGGTTTGCAGCCTCGGAAGGTGTTATAAGCGTGAAGCGCAGCTATACAGATACATTTGTATCTCTCTTTATGTGTAAGGGTCAAAGTTTTTATAGTGCATAGAGAATGCGGGCTGTTTGATGAATTGCCAAAGAGACTCGGACAGTGGGAGAGAGTCGGTGTGCCGGAGAGTCAAAGAGTCGAAGGGGGTGTACGCGATGCGCCGGGCCATTCGGGCCGAGCGAACGTTAATCGAAGTTTAGTTTTTATGGCCAGCGGCAAAAGCTGTTGCGGTTCACACGGCGCAACAATTTGGCAACGAACGAAGCCCTAGAGTAGACCCAAACTATTTTAATTACTCGAGATTGTGCACTTCTGCTACAAATTTCACGCTGGCTCTGCAGCCATGCGTGTAGAAATTCAGGCCTAAACAGCCCAACACTTCTGGGCACTTGTGGACCGCCCAGCATCTCTCGTAAGCAGAGCCAAAAAGATGAATAAACCGGCTATTTTCTCACCAAATTAGAGCGAGAGTGTGAGCATGTGTGTGTGCATGTGTGTGTGCTCAAGATGTGAGCATTAATTGCTCAATTGCAGCAAACCGGAACTCTTTATTGCATGTGAACAGCTTCGGGCCGAAGCGTCAAAACGAGATCAAAACTTGGCGCATCCCCCGGCTGCACTCGTAACTGAGACAAAGAGTGAGAGAGGGAGGGAGGTAGGGAGTTAGGCAGAGATAGACAGAGACACAAGCTCGACTCATCTTAACGGAAAGGCAACTGGTTCAAGATCTTGGCTATTAGCCGTTAATTGATAGTTTGCCTAAACGGCTGGACCCGACCAGCCTCTGCTCCGCATCGCCGCATCGCCGCATCACCGCATCTCCCCTAGAGAGTCTTTAGTTGTTGTTGTTGTTGCTGTTGCTGTTGGCTTGGCTTGGCCTGACTTGCCTTGTTTGCAAAGAGATTAAATTGACTAACACTAACCTGTCTGACTTGTTTGTACTGCTCTTCAAAGCTCCAGCCATTATTCTGCTGCGATGAATTGGATGCCTCGCTGGACGTCGATGAATTTGATGCGGAATTAGCTGCAAAATGACGCGCTGAGTTCAACAGTTTAAGCACCGGCTAATCCCCAGCCCCATACCAACCTTCTTTGGCGCTTGGCGCTGTCGGCGATGCAAACGAAAAGGGATGCCCATTGCCGGCATTGTTGTTGTTGTTGTTGTTGTTATTGTTACTGCTGCTGTTGTTGTTGTTACTGTTGTTATTGCTATTGTTGCCAGTTGCATTGGTCGTGCCGCCACCGCCACCGCCACCGCTGTTGCCTCCACCTGGGCCACCTGCATTATTGTTGCCAGCTGCCACAGCTCCTCCTGCTCCACTTGCAGCAGCAGCGGCGCCCCCATTGTAGCTGGCGCCATTGCCGGCCGCCGCATTGGCCGCATGGCCAAAGGATGCAGCTGCCGCGGCGGCTGCCACCGAATTGTGGGCCAGCGGAAAGGCCGAGCTGATCGTCGTGGGCAGCATATTGGCCCCGAACGCAGCTGCATGCGCTGCCGCCGCATAGTCCTGTTCCTGCAAGCCAAACGAATGGGAGTTGAGGCCGATTGGTAAAACAGAATTAAACATTTTTACCTCCATACGGAATTCGATGCGAACTTTTTTTTATCAGAATAAATATTATTTACGAATTCTACGATTTAAATTCCAAATCACACAATTTGATATAAAAAGTTGTATTTAATTGAAAATCATTTTATATAAAATTCAATGACAATTTTTTATATTGTATATCAAAAAATTGTTCTAAGGTGTTTTTGTTCCTCAATTTTGATATAAATATATTATTAATATTATTTATTATTTTTCCACATAAAAATTAAATGTGAATTTCAATTAAAAAACATCTGATGTGCTTGTTGTGGAATTTTAATTAACAATTGTTATTGTTACAGTATTTATATAAACATCTCTATAAATTCTTGAGTGATGCATTAAATATTTTATTCAGTATAGATTGTGCTCGCCTAAGTTGCACTACTATTTTCTTGAATATTTTACTCATTTAAATAGTAGTGCAAAATAAACACTTTTTTGAAGATTAGTTATATATTTATTGATTTAATAAATAGTTTTCATTATTAAAAATATTTATTTTACTATTTTTTCTATATTTTTGAACTTTATAAATTTGTTTATTTAGAAACATTTTTATTTATTTGTTTATTTTATTTTTTATTTTATTTTATTTATTTATTTATTTTATTTTTTTTGTTAACTATAGTTTGATTTTTGCTTAATTATTTTTTATGATTTTTTTCTTATTTTACTTTTATATATTTTGTTTTATTTATTATTGATTGTTTTTATTTATTTATATATTTTTTTTATCTTTTTACATATTAATTTTTTTTTTAATGAAAAATGTATTCCTGTTTTATTTTATATCTATATATTTTATTTTATTTACTCCTCTTTATTTGATTTTTTTGATATATGTATATATTTTTATTTATTTTCTTAATTTTTTCTAATTTATTATATTATAATTTTTATTATTTTTTTTTTTTTTTATATTTTTATTTAATTTAAAAAAATATTTATTGCAAATATATATATATATTTTTTGTTAGCTAACAGTTTTATTAGAAACAGCAACTACTCTCATATGAAATTGTTGGACTTTTACCTTCAGTTACAAGATGCACTCCAAACTCTCTCCAACTTTTGTCTAACCTTTAAGTTTCCTATATCCCCCTTCGGCCCCTCTCTCTTGCACATTTAGCTTTCCCCGCACCCTTTGCGATCCACAAATACTAGATCAGTTCTAATTGCTTTGACACTCACCATGAGGCCCACTTTCATGTCGCGCACTTGCATCTTGAGCTTCTCGAGCACGTCGCTGTGCTGGAGATTTGGAATGCTGTGTAGTCCGCCGATGCCCATGAAGCTGCCCAGAGCGTTGAGCGGATGATTCGGCGGCAGTTGATGATGATGGCTGTCACAAGCAGAAGAATGACAATTGAAATAGATGGATAATGTAGCTGATCAAGCTAATATGTATGTGTGTGTGTGTGTATGTATGTGTATAGCTAAGGCAAACTCACCTGAGTGGCAGATCTGTTTGCTGCTCTGGACTGGCAAAGTTGAGGCCAGCGCCGCCGGCGACTGTGTGACTGAGTCGAGCTGCGATTGCCGCCTTGGCGCTCAGCTGATGATGTTCACCGTCTACCGAGTCGCAGTCGCGCATCTCGTCATCCGTTCGATCGCCGTGGGACTGCAACAGAGAAAGGGAGAGCGAGAGAGAGAGAGAGAGAAGAGAATTAGTGCATCAGACATTGGAATTGATAGTGGCGCTTATGTCAAAACATGCCGCATCGATTGCGCTCAATGAATCTTGGCCAGGTCCATTGAACGCCACGATCAATGCGATTAGACGCCCGCTGTGCTGGCCAAATGTTGAATACTTTGTCAACTTGCGGCGGCTTTGCAGCGTGCAGCGTGCGGCGTGCGGCGTGCAACGTGTTGCGGCTGCGTGGGCAGCACTTAGCAAATGATCATTGTTCTGGCCAAGTCCATGGCAGGACAACATTAACACATAAACAAAGAGTGGCAGAGAGAGAGAGGGGGAAAGAGAGCTCCAGCAATTTCAATTGTATTGCCAGCGAGGCGACAACAAAGGTAACCACTTAATAAATTAACAATGGCAAGCCGGTAATGGCAATCAAGCAGAGCCACAACCAGACTCAGACCCAGAGTCAGTGTCAGAGTCAGAGCCAGACTTAGAGCCGCAGTCAGAGCCACAAGAGCCGCAGGTCCGTTCAGGCCATTAAA